AGGCTGTCTCTACTGGCTGTCAGGGAATGCTAACAGGAGGGGCTGTGATGGAAGTCTGGTTTCTGACGGGGTGGAGGAGCATCTGCTGGGAGGTACGGTGGGGCGGGCCTCAGAGTGTAAGGCAGGTGTGGAGCTTGGTTCTCTGGGAGTCCTGTTACCTTCCAGGATCTTGGGCTCTGGGTGATTAACGGGGATCTCCCAGAGTTAAATCAGTAAGCAATCCACCATAGTCGCCCTTGACCTTCAGGGTCAAGAAAGTGAAGAGAGGCCTGTCTTGAGGCAACATGTGAGAGATTCGCACAATTCCCAGACCTGCTTCTTTGGAGTGGGAGGACCACACATCTGAAGGAAGGGAAGACACCTGCCACAATGTCGCAGGGGCCTCCTGTGACTTCTTCCTAGTTTTTTAAAGTTGGACCTTGGGTCATTTCCTCAGATGAAGATGCAGGGGGAAGGTAAATAAATACTTAAACTTTTTTTTTTTTAAGATTTTATTTATTTATTTGAGATAGAGAGAGAGAGAGAGAGAGAGAGCAGGGGCAGGGGGAGGGGCAGTGGGAGAAGCAGACTCCCCGCTGAGCAGGGGACCCTGGGATCATGACCTGAGCCGAAGGCAGAGCCTTAACCAATGGAGCCACCCAGGTGCCCCTAAATACTTCAACTTTTAAGGGGCCTAGAGCACCACGTGTGAGGATGACCAGCAAAATGTGGCGGGGCCTCGCGGGAGAGCTACAGCATTGGCTGAGGGGTCTATGCCGACGCCCGGGGGGACGTTGCCCCCGCGCAGGGATAGCCTGGAGGTGTAGAGATGTGGCCCACGGCCTGAGCTCCAGTCCAGCCTCCACTCTGCTAGCTGGGTGAGCAGGGGAGAGTTACCTATTGCCTCTCTCTGTGTCTGCATTTGCCCACGATAAGATGGGATGTTAATAGTACCTCTTCAAAAGGTTATTATGAAGGGGCACCTGGCTGGCTCTGCTGGTAGATCCTGCGACTCTTGACCTCAGAGTTGTGAGTTCAAATCCCCACACTGGGCATAGAGATTACTTAAAAAAAAAAAAGGTTATTGTGAGGATAATGAAATAAAACATGTAAAGCACTTGTAACACATTCTAGCATATTCTAAGTGCTCAATAAATATTACTGTTGCCATTCTGATCATCATACTCCGCAACAAAGATAAACAGGACACAAAGACAACTGTATGCAGGCAGGGCCACCAAGGACTCAGTCCCCTCGGGAACAAAGATTGGGGTCTCCACAATCTCACCTGGCAGAGAGAGGACCCAGGAGCTAGGGGACCAGCAACGGGTCATGGGGACAGATGACTCAGATGTCAGTTCTAGAAATAAGAATGGAAGCCTCTGCCCTGTATTTCTTGCTCACTGGGTCACTTGCATCTTTAAGATGTTTTTCTCTTTGGGGGCGCCTGGGTGGCTCAGTCATTAAGCGTCTGCCTTCAGCTCAGGTCATGATCCCAGGGTCCTGGGATGGAGCCTCGCATCAGGCTCCCTGCTTGGCGGGAAGCCTGCTTCTCCCTCTCCCACTCCCCCTGCTTGTGTTCCCTCTCTCGCTGTCTCTTTCTCTGTCAAATAAATAAAATCTTTTAAAAAAAGATGTTTTTCTCTTTGTAGGTAATATAGGCTTTGGTGTTTGATTTTATTTCATCCATAGGTTGTAGGATATTAAGCCAATATGTAGTTGAGACGTGGACATACTCAGAGTTCTTGGACTCAGAGACCAGCGACCCTATTACATCACTTCAGAGCTCTGTGGATTGTCACCTGTCGGGAATGGGACAGTGTATGTGTGGTTCACATGTGGCAGTCACTGTAAAGTAGAGCATTTGGGGACTGGGACCGTGGAAAGAAGGGTGTTTGTGTGTGAGCTCTGGGCAGCCAAAGGGTGAACTGCAGTGACTTGGGGAACCCCACTAGGATTGCTGATGCTGATGAGGCGGAGGTCACAGGGTACTGCTCCCAACCAAATTAAACTCAGTGTAGACAGTTAACTTTTCTCTCCTTGGAAATGAAATCTGTTGCCAAATCACACCGGGAGAGAAGAAGCCTGGATCCAGGTCAACTTGTAACAGCATCCTACCGACAAATTCCATGAGTTCCAGCTGCTGAAACCCCAGCATTTCCCTAGTTCTTTCCTTTAATCTGGATGCTCATCCCTCCCTTCACTTGATATCCTTCTGATAAATCCCCTTCTCCTGCCAGTTCGCTAGCTTCAGTTTCTCTCACCACAGTCAAAGAATCCTGACAGACACCAGCTCGCTCCTCCTCTCTGCTCCCAGAAAAATAAAGGCAGGTACAGAGTTAGCGGCTCAGCTGGCCCTGCCTTCCATTCGGAAACACACGAAATTCATGTAAAATACCCATAGTAGGATTAACAACTCCAGTACGCATTAAACTTGGCTTCAGAATCCACCCAGAGAACAAGCAAATGCATCATTTTGTGGGCAGCTAGAAATCTTCTGGAATGAGTGAAAGCAGATGCTGCTAAACTAGCCTCCCTTGTTGTCCCTCCTAGTCACACACACACACACACACACACACACACACACAAGAACAGGCACACATGCACACACACAATCTAACCAGGATGCCTTGCTGGGTCCGATGAGAATAAAAGCCGCTGGCGAGAGGAGACATGCCCACAAGCAGCATGTCTGAGATCTCTGCAGAGAGCAAGAGTCTGGCTGTTGGCTTGCTCATCTCCATCCACAGAGAAATGCACTTAGCGAGGCGCCCACAGGTCCTTGTTGGGATATTCAGGGAAAGGCACTCTTGTCAGACCTTTGCCTGAGATTTCTCTCCAGGAAAATTCAGTGGCATTGGAGGGAAAGGAATTACCACAAGCCTTCTATGTCTTAGGCACAGAGGGATGGGCCTGCTCCTTTCAAGCCACTGATTCTCTTGCATTTGTGAACACAGATCATTTAGACGTGGTGCCTATTAGACCTGAATGCCCCACTCACTGAATGACTTTGTCTACTTACCCTCCCTAGGCCTCATTGTCCTTCTCCGCAGCAAAATCAAAAAGATAATATTTATCAAGAGAAGTTGTTATGGAAGTTAAACGCTATTACACAATGTGTAATCAATCGCGCCTGCCTTATCACTGTCACTTGATTATAGTGAAATAACATAAAAATTCCATTAGCGTAGGATTTCTTGTTTAGTGTTTGGGGAGGATAAAATATGTAGGAAAGATTTCTGCCAGCCTTGTAAATGATTACTTTCGTTCTGACGGTGGGAACGAATACAGAGACCTGGTTTTCTGTCATTATCTGATGCAGGCAAGATGCTGGCGAGCAGTGTGAATGGGGGGGTTAGTTTCAGGGAGTGATTTGCCGAGAGGCGTTAGCAGATTTGGCCCGAAACCATAAGCCAGACATGCTTGTTGCCTGTACAGTGAAAGGTCGGGAGTCTTGGGAAGGTCTCTCTGTCCCAAATAGTCCTCCCTCTGCCTTGTAAAGACTGAAATCTGGAATGTAGGGGAAAAACATATTTCCTTTTCTTTGTTTCAACAGCAAATGGTAGCTCAGAAATTCCCCTTCAAGAATTGTGTGGTATTCCTGTGTCAGGTATGGAGGGACGCTGACCTGGGGACAGAGAGGGTAAAAGGGATCAGACCGGGACCCAAAGGGAAGGAGCAACTGGACACCCCTGGAGCAACAGCCTGAGCAAGGGTCTTCTGTCTCCTTTGGATTTTCTTCTGAGCACCTGTATGGCCAACTGCCCATCGGTCTTCATACCTGGATGTTGCCATGGCACCTTCAAGTTCACAGGTCCTAAAAAGAACTCGGGCTCAGCCTGTAGGAGCATCTCCGGACACATGTCACCAGCCTCCCTCTACCCAGTCTTAGCATAGTGGAGACTCCCAGAGTCCTCCCTTCCTGCCTGCACGCACCCAGTTTCTCAAGAGTCCACCTCTAGAATACTTCACGGGTTTCTGCCTTCCTCTCTCCTGCTGGATCACACCCCCCTCCTGCCTCCTTTCAGGCCGCCTCTACAACTCCAAATCCCACTGCAACACGCCCCCCCCCCCCCCCACCCTACACCCTTCACTGGTGCTGGCTCCTTAAGCTTAACAGCAAGCTGACTCCCAAGATTAGGGAAAGAGTGGATTTCTCTGGTTAAGACGCTTGGAGAATAAATTGTCCCATGTGCTTTGGGACCCCATTATGGGGTTTTCTTTCGGAGTCTGGACATAGTCAGCCATTGGGAGAAGGTCTGGTTGTCGAGATGAAGGCTAGCTTTCTAAAGCTACCTTGTTCCCTCACCGCCCCCCCCCCGGCCCCCCTCCCCGCCTCTCGGGAAACCCTGCTACCTTTAGGACCTGGAGGATCCGAGTGAGGGAGGTGTCACCCCTCCCCGCCCCCCGCGAAGCAGGCACCGGAACAGCTCTAATGGGAACCAGCAGGCATTCCGGGAGGGCTCACAACCCGGGTGTGGGATTCCTGCAGAGACCTCAGGGGACCGTCAGAGGCGCTGGGGTGCGATGGGGGTGGGGGAGGCTGCCGAAAGATGCTGGATCAGTGGGTGGGGGCCCCAAACCCCCAGCACGAGAACAGCGGGAGCCCGTCGCCTAGGACCCCGCGGCCGCTCCAATGGGTGAACCTGACCTCTCCGGGAAGCCCCGCCGCGCCGCTCTTCCCTCGCTCGCCCGCCACCACCCCACTTACGGAACTTCTTTAGAATTCGGGGTGTATGTGTAATTTCCCAGCGAGAGCGGACCAAGGGCGCTCTCCAACAAGGGGGCCACCCCGAAGTCCCCCGAGAGCCTCTCTGGCAGGGTCCTCAGGGCTGGGAGCCAGCAGCGGGGCAGACTCGCCCGGTAGTGGCGCGCAGCCGCCGGCCCCAGTGAGCTCCATCCAGGGCGTGCGCGTCTCGCCCCCCGGGACCCCGCGCCCACCTCCCCCGCGTCGCCGCGGCCTTCCGTCCCGGCACCGGGCAGCGGGGAGGGTCGCACGTGGGCCGCTCCCCGGCGTCCCCGGGGAGGGGGCGGCAGGGTGGGGGCTGGGGCGCCGGCCCGAGAAGTGGGAGGGGACAGGTTGGGGGGTGGTCTCTGAGGAGGAGCCAGGCCCGACTGTATTGTTCCACACTCGCCGCCCCCAGCGCGCGGCGCCGGCCGGGGAGGGCGCGCGGGGCGCGGGGCGCTCGGCTTCCCGGGTGGCCCCCGCCGCCGGACCCCGCGACGAGGCCCGAGGCTGCCAGCGCGCGCGGAGACGCCTCTGCCGGGTCGTCGGGCTCCGGGGCAGGGCCTGCTCAGGTGGGGCGCGGGGAAGGGAGGCAGCCGGCGCCGGTGGGGCCGGGACCCCTGCGCTGCGGGAGCGGGAAGTCCCCGCGGGCCGCCCCCCGGCGCGCAGCCCCCCCGGGTCCGCGGGCCCGGAAGCCGGGGGGAGGCGGCGCGGGAGAGCGGCCCCCGCCTCACCTCCGCCGCACCCCGCGCCCCGCAGCCGCCGGGAGCCGCCGCGCGGATGCCGGGGCGCCCCTCCCTAGCGGGGCGCAGCCACCTCGTCTCGCGCCCGGCCGTCCGCATGGGGGGCGGAGGGTCGGCCCTGAGGGTCTGCGCCGACCACCGCGGGGGCATCAACTGGCTCAGCCTGAGCCCGGACGGGCAGCGCCTGCTGACGGGCAGCGAGGACGGCACGGCCCGGCTCTGGAGCACCGCGGACGGCCAGTGCTGCGCACTCCTGCAAGGTAGACCCTCCTGCTCTGTCCTCTGCGCCCGCTCGCCCGCCTCAGACCTCAGCCCTGCGGCCCGCAGACCCCTGCCCACGGCGGGGGCCCTCGTGGGGGGCGCTCGCCCGGCCGAGCCCGCGGCCACCGGGAGCGGTGGGCCGGGGAGCACCCGCGGCGGGGGGCTACCCTCACCTGGCAGCCCGCTGCAGGCAATCAGTGCCATGCCAGCGGCTTTCACGACAGCCCGGAGTGGCACCGCTGCGTCCTCCTCGGGCTAGGCAGCGCCCTCCCCCGTCTCACTGCCCGAGTGGCCTGTGGCCGGACATTTCCTCTCGGAGCCATTGTGGTAACCACCGGCGCCTGTGACGTGCGGGCGGCACGGAGCACTGCCCTGGGCAGCCCTCACACTGCTGTTATCCCGCTCGTGCAGACAGGGAAACTGAGGCAGGACGTAAGTTGCCCGGGGTCACACGGCCTGTGGGCGGTGGAGTTGAAATTTGAACGCCCCCCTTCTCCGTCCGGCCATTCTGCTCTGCTCCCTCTGCAGCCTCATTTCTTCTGCTGGAAAATGAGGGGGTGTGGGGGAGGGATGGATCAAAGTTTCTCAAAAGGGCCTTGTTAAACCAATTTAGCGCCTTTGGAAACATGATGCAGTGGCAGGAGGCACGCATAGTAGGCGTACATGTTGTTTTATAAAAGTTTCACAGATGCATACACACTGGTTTATACTTGTGTACTTAGTCACTGGAGGTGGACTATTTCCTACCCTGGGTCCCTGTCACATGCCTGCAGGGCGGGGAGGCCCGTCTCCTCCTCTGCCCCTGGTGTTGCCTGAGCAGCAGGTACGGTGGCCTGAAGCACAAGGCTCTCCACTCTGTGGTTATTTATCACCGCCTGGGTTTTTTCCACCATAATCGGCAAATCCTGGGTGGCCTCCCCAGGCCTTCCAAATCATGTAGGCACAGGGAGTGCAAATCAGCTTCACGATTGGTTGATATTGACCCTATTGGTTTTTTTATTTTTTAAAGATTTTATTTATTTGACACAGAGAGAGAGCACAAGCAGCGGGGGCTGGAGAGGGAGAAGCGGGTTCTCCGCTGAGCAGGGAGCCTGATGCGATGTGGGGCTCGATCCCAGGACTCTGGGATCATGATCCCAGCCAAAGGCAGACTCTTGAGCCACCCAGGCGCCCTGACCCTACTGGTTTTAAATAAAAGCAGTGTGGTAGATATTTCAAAGCCCAGAAGAGATGAATTTTGTACTGGGGGCGGGAGTGATACGGGAGAGTCAGTTACAAACTAACACCTTCCTCCTGCCACCCCCAAAGTCACCTCCAAAGTCACACAGATGGACAGGCACTAAACTGAGACTGGAAGATCTAAGATCTGTCCAACATTTATAATCCAACTGTATTGCTTCCCAAACATAAGACTCATCTGGAGGGCTTTCAGAAATGTAAATTCCCAGGTCCCAGTTTCAGTGAGCCCCTGGTGTAGGACTCTAGAATTTGCATTTCTAACAAGATTTTGGCTGGATCTGATGCACCCTGACCCGGGGAGCCCTGGGGCCTGGTGTCCATTGTGGGAGCCCAGTTTGAAGGTGGGTTTCCTCCCCAGTTGAGCTCCAGGCCCTTCCAGGGTGGTTCTGGCCTGGTGGGCATGGGTCTCTGCACCCAGGGCAGCTCTAGAGCCTAGACCATGCCTCCAGCGCCCACCCTCCTGTCCAGCTCTGCTCTGCCATCACCACTCAGCTCTGTGCCTGGCAGCTCCCCTTCACACCCATGTTGGTGGCCCTCACAGTGGCTTGTCCCCTCAGGATACCAACCCCTGTGTCCCGGTGAGGCTATGCCTGCCCCTCTGGTGGCCTGGGTGAGAGCCATCCCACTCAACAGGAGAGCTTTCAAACGAAACACTGCCACCCATTTCTACCAGAATTGTTTCTGCTGCTGTAAGGGTTGGTACTTTAAGAATTTTCATGGACAGGGGCACCTGGGTGGCTCAGTCGTTAAGCGACTGCCTTCGGCTCAGATCATGATCCCAGGGTCCTGGGATGGAGCCCGGCACTGGGTTCCCTGCTCTGTGGGAGGCCTGCTTCTCCCTCTCCCGCTCCCCCTGCTTGTGTTCCCTCTCTCACTGTGTCTCCCTCTGTCAAATAAATAAAATCTTAAAAAAAAAAAAAAAAAAGAATTTTCATAGACAGAAGAGATAGAAGTAACCTTTTCTTATCCGGAGACCGCACTATTAGATTTAACTTGAAAAAGAGTCTTTTTGGGCGTGCAGTAGTCCTTGCGTGACCCCCCAAAGAAAGCAAGGACTTTTTTGTTTTAGTGAAATAGTAATAAATGTCTTAGCATTTGCTTAGTATTCTATATTTTATTAATACCCCTCAATATACTTCTTGATCCTTTTTTTTTTTAAAGATTTTATTTATTTATTTGAGAGAGAGAGAGAGCACATGAGAAGGTGGAGGGTCAGAGGGAGAGGCAGAATCCCCGCTGAGCAGGGAGCCCAATGCAGGACTCGATCCTGGGACTCCAGGATTGTGACCTGAGCCGAAGGCAGTCGTTTAACCAACTGAGCCACCCAGGCGCCCGATCCATTATTATTAATACTCAAAACTGTGAGGTAGATAGAAATGACACCGGTTTATAGATGAGAATGGGCAGGCACAGATTTATTTACCAACACATGAGTATTCTAAGTGTTTTCTAGATCCTTAGCCTGTGAGGTAGGTTCTGTTGTCAGCATCTGAGATTAGAGTGGTTATGGGTCTTGCCTGAGGTCACACCGCAGGATTGCATGGATGGCTTCCCCCGCTCTAGGAGGCTCCTGCTCGCATCAGGACAATGCTGTAGGGCTGATCAGCTGCAGCCCAGATCCCCGGGGGTCTCCTGACCCCCACACCAGGCTCTTTCTACTTCTGTTGTGGAAACTGCCAGATTGGGGTGAGTGCTAGTGCCTGGTACAGCTCTGGGCCCCAAGAAGGCTCTGGAGAAGAGCCTGTTGGGGGGCCAGGCCTGGATTTCTTGGGCAGAGTGGCTGGAGTGGGCAGTTCCTGCCGTGCGTTCTCCTTCTGCACACGAGCTTCTTGCTCTGCTCAATTCCTGGGGGGGGGGGGGGGGGCAGATGCAGTTAGGGGCCCGAGGCTTTTCTGTGAATCTTGCAGGGTTTTGAACGTTTATGCCAAGGGATGCGCTGGAGAGGAAGAACAGGGCAGTCCCCTGTGGGTGGGGGCTTGGTGGGCAAGTTGTCACCCTTGGTCCTGGAGAGCAGGCTGCGTAACCAGGCCCCCCCAGCTTCCCTGGGGGGAAAACAGAAGCTCTGCTCTTTCGGTAAATGGAACTGGCTTTCAAATGCAGTTGATGAGCTCCAAGGCAAGAAGTAGGCTTACCTGCCAGTTATTCTGCTAAGGGAAGAATCATTTAATGGAATTATCCCTTCCCTCTCTTCTTTTATCCGTTGGGTGCCTACTCATCTGAGGCACTTTGTTGGATCAGTGAGATAAGCAGCATGTCCCAAGGTGGCAGTCCTTGTCCTGGTCTGTTCCCATGTAGTAAGGGACCCAGCCTGAAGGTTCGAACCCACTGTAGCTGTTCCATGAGCGTCCTTGTCTTCTAACAGCATCTTCTAGCATGATGGGGTGCTGTTTTTAATTCTGTGTGAACAAACTGCACACTTCTACTTACTGCAAGCCTGCTGGTGCCTGCCCATCCTGACGACTCCTGACCCCTACTTTCCACCAGGGAGCAGGAGGGGCCGTTGATAGTCAAGAGCCCGGGCTCTGGAGCTGGGCTGCTTGGGCTCAAATCTCATTACTTAACTTCTCGTGCCTTAGTTTCTTTATCTGTGAATTGGGGGTGATAAAATAGTCATCTACCCTTATGAGGTTATGTGGGGGGGGGGGCAGTAAACCAGTCAATAAATAGCTCCTGGCTCTTTCAGTGGCCTTGTCCTCCAGGCTCACATCAACAGGCCCGGACTGAGTAAGAGCATCTCCTTGGCACGGTGCCTAGCCAGCTCCAAAGCTCTTTGTCCTTTGCTTCTCACAGCCTGACTCCACCGTTCGAGGCTCTGAAGGGCTAGCCAGTCCTCCTGCGTTTATGCAGGCAGAGCGGCCCTGGGGGGAAGCCTGTCCTCCCTCCTGCTCCAGAGCCTTTGTCCCATTTGACTGTTGGCTTGACTGTGCTGGAAACATGTGTTAGATTCGAAGATGCTGCCCCAGGGAATCCTCAGGTTGGCTAAACTGAGGGGCTGTGTGCACTTGAACTTCAGATAAGCAGGAACTCTGAGCTGGGGTAGTCAGGGTTCACCTCTTGGCCCAGGTGGGCCTGGAATGGACCTGGGACAATTTTTAACTCTAATAGAAAACATGTAGTAGCAAATTTACCATCTTAACCATTTTTAAGTGCACAGTTTGAAGATAGTAAACATTGATAACGCACTGCCATTACCACTGTCCATCTCTAGAACTTTTCCATCCTGGAAAACTGAAACTGTGTCCCCTTCGAACAATAACCCCTTTTCTCCCTGCCCCCAGCCCCTAGTGCCCACCATTCTGTGTTCTGCCTCTGAATGTGACTGCTCTGGGGACCTCATACAGGCTCATTTCACTTAGCACGATGTCCTCGAGGTTCGTCCGTGTTGTAGTGCATGTCAGGATTTCCTTCCTTTGGAAGGCTGAGTACTGTTCTGCTGTGTGCGTTTTTTTGCCTATTCATCCATCAGCAGACACTTGGGTTGCTTCCACGTGACTGTGGTGAGAAAGGCCACTATGAGCTTGGGTGTGCAAATATCTCTTCCAGGCCCTGTTTTCCGTTCCTTTTGTAGATACCCAGAAGTGGGCTTGCTGAATCATCTCCTACATATTTTTTTTTCAAAGATTTTATTTATTTATTTGAGAGAGAGACTGAGTGAGAGAGAGAGAGAGAGAGAACGCACATAAGCCAGGGAAGAGGCGAGGGAGGGAGAAGCAGACTCTCCGCCGAGCAGGGAGCCCGAGGTGGGACTCGATCCCAAGACCCTGGGATCATGACCTGAGCTGAAGGCAGACACTTAACCAACTGAGCCACCCAGGCGCCCCATCTCCTACATATTTTTGAAAGAGCATGTGGGGGCACAGGGAAGGCTCTCAGACATAAACACATCCAATATTAACTTCATCCCAGTCAAGGAAGAATTCCATCAAAATGCAGTTGGTTTTAAGCACGGATGTGACGGAAGCCCAGGCGGGTAACCCATCCTTGAGCGCTTCAGACGCCGCCGTCCGCGGGTGGTGAGCTCCCCGTGGGTGCGGATTGGGGAGGTCACAGAGGGAGGCCGGAGAGCAGCCTGGTGGAGGGCGTGGGCTGAGAAGAGCTGGGCTGGAAGGACAGGCCCTGCAGTGGCACCAGTGGTAGGAGCATCAGCCTGTCCTGGCTGGGAGCTCGGGGCAGGAGGTTGAGTCTTCCTGGGCTTTGTCAGACACCATTTCAGCCACACCTTCCTTGCCCGGGACGCGCCGGTGTCACCGCTGGGGCTTGCTGGGCACACATCCGGAGGTGGCCCCCGCAGGCAGGAAACAAAATGGCACCCTCAACATAGTAGCTCAAGGCGAGTTTGGTAAAGAGGCCCTTGCCAAAGGTGGCCATGGTAGGGGATCCCCCGTACCTGCGGCTGGTACCTCTCAGCGCTCCCGGACGTGGATTAGCCAGGGCAGGGAAGCATTCACGGCCGCCCGGAAATGGCTGTGGAGAGGCCTCCAGAGAAGTGTGACCGTGGCTTGAGGTTTTGATGGCTGCAGGCCAACAGATCCTGCCCCAAAGTCTCCTGGGCTCCCAGCTGTCTGAACCCTGTGGGCAGTGGGGGGGATCAAAGAGCCCCCAGGGGGTGGGGGAGCCGCAGGGAGCAGGCTGGAGAAGAGGAGAGGGACCCGGACCGGCAGACAGAAGCCTTGCCAGCGACAGCAGAGGGGAAAAGGAGGCCCCGCTTTTCATGCCAAGTTAGTCAAACGAATGTTCCAGCTTGGCTGGTGCCCACGCCAACCCACCTCTGCCGCCGCAGACCCCGGGGGGGCCAGTGCCCTGAGCGGCTACTCCTGCTTGTGGAGGGGGCACTTGGACTCCGAGCCTCCAGCGAGTCCCAGGGTGTGCGGCCGGGGAGGCGGGGAGGGCCGACTGCCTTGGCAGAAAACCCTGAGCCTCAGCATGTCCTTTTGAACATAATAACTGCATCTTATCTGCATTCTTTATCCCTTCAAAAATGTTTATTTTTAGTTTGGCTTTTTTGCTTATTCTACACAATTCCAACAGCCCGTGGTGGTGCTGTGGTCCCTGGAGACAGGATGGGCCCTCCTGCTCCCCAGCCTCCCTCACCCATCCCCCCCGGGGGACCCTGTAGGCTGTGCACTGTGGACCCTGTCGTATGGTCTGTGGACTGTGGCCGGGAACACGCTCTGCAGCCTCTGCCGGCCGGGCTCCAAGCTGGGACTCGTCCAGTGTGGGGTGGGTGCCTGGTGAGCAGAGGAAGGGGCTTGTCCCTGGGAGGGCCTTGACTGCTGCAGGGAGCCTCAGCCAGCCCAGGGCAGAGGGTCAGCCTAGCCCAGCCTCAGAGGGGAGAGGAGATTTTTTATTTTTACACTGAAAAAATTCTTTTCATTATTGACTCTTCAAGTCTTTGTTATAGGTATTTATATATGTGTGTGTGTGTGTATTTAAAGGTTTGTTTATTTTAGGGAGGGGTGGGGGAGGGGCAGAGGGAGAGAGAATCTCAAGCAGACTCCACACTGAGCACAGAGCCGGACACGGGGCTCGATCCCACGACCCCGAGATCATGACCTGAGCCAAAATCGAGTTAGCCCCTTAACCGACTGCACCCCCCGGCGCTCTTACGGATGTTTATATTTTTATTGTATATATCCTTTCTTTCCCTGCTTCCATGGGTCCTACAGTTGGTCCCACATCCCTGGTCTAGTGGCTGTGGCTTCACTGAATACAGGTGCCACGGCTTACTGGCCACACCGCTTTCCAGCGCTTTCCTTGGCCTAATATACACTTGGCACATCGCCGTCCTGCTGTCAGAAGCTGTGGAGACGGGACGGAAGCAGCCAGGAGGGGGCTGATGCCCCTGCGGAAGCCTCTCCTGGCTTGGCTGGCGCAGGACGATGGCACAGGGTCCCAGGAGGACTGCGGGGTGTGGGGGGGTGTGCAGGGCCGCCTACTGCCCTCGGCGCGCTGGGCCGCCTTCCAGCCCGCCCTGGAAGCCAGGTGGTTCCTCAGGCACCGCCGAGCCCTCCCCATGGCAGCTCTGGTTTCAGGGAAAGTTTGTTGACTATCTTAAAATATTTTATAAACATTTTGGGTTGGCAAAAAGCTGGGCTGTGTTTTGCCAAACACATTTTGCCCTCGACTTTTAAACTGACGTGTATTTTAAGGAAACCTAATCTGCATCATCTTCCAGTGTTTACTTACTTCACACAAACGTCGTTTTCTTAGAGGCCTGGTACATGCTATCCGAGAAGACCGAAAAACATGTCTTCTTTTCTTTTGTTTTTTTAAATTCTCTTTCTTAGAACCCAGAGAGTTGGGTTCTTCCAAGAGTAACTGAGCTAAAACCCCAGGGCCAAAAAGTGCACATCAGCTTGAAACTGCCTGGAAGATTCTAAATCCCCGTCTGGGGGCGCCTGGGTGGCTCAGTCGATTAAGTGTCTGCCTTCAGCTCAGGTCATGATCCTGGGGTCCTGGGGTCAAGTCCCACGTCAGGCTCCCTGCTCAGCGGGGAGCCTGCTTCTCCCTCGCCCTCTACTCACTCTGCTTGTGCTCTCTCTCTGTCAAATAAATAAATAAAGTCTTAAAAAAAAAAAAAATCCATGTCTGTCTGATACCAGGCACCTAGACGAAATTTTAAAATTCAGTTGTGATCTTTAATGTAATTAATATATCCCACACGTCTGTGAAATGGATCTTAGGTGTAACATGCCTTTGATTCAATTGATTTTCTGGTTCCTGGATTCTCTTCAAATATACTCAGCTTCAGTTTGCTATCAAGAGTTGGTAATGGCGGAGGGGGAGGAGTTGTTATTGGGGCGCCTGGGTGGCTCAGTTGGTTAAGCGTCTGCCTTCGGCTCAGGTCATGGTCCTGGGGTCCTGGGATCGAGCCCTGCGTCGGGCTCCCTGCTCGGCGGGGAGTCTGCTTCTCCCTCTCCCTCTGCCGCTCCCCCTGCTTGTGCTCTGTCAAATGAATAAATAAAATCTTAAAAAAAAAAAAAAGAGTTGTCTTCCATCGGCCGCCAGCATGATGTGCGGGGTGCCCACCGCCTCGCAGCCCGCCACGGCCGAGACCCAGGCCATCGCTGACCAGGTGAAGCCCCAGCTGGAAGAACAGGAGAATAAGAACTATGCTACATTTAAGGCTGTGGAGTTCAGGAGCCAGGTGGTCGCAGGGATGAACTACTTCATCAAGGTTCAAGTTGACGATGATGAGTTTGTGCACCTTCGAGTATTTCGAAGTCTCCCGCATGAAAACAAGCCTGTGGCCTTGTCCAGCTATCAGACCAACAAAGCCAGGCATGACGAGTTGGCGTATTTCTAGTTCCCACTCTGAATAGGGCTCGTCCATGTGGTTCTGTCCTCTGTGAATGTGTCTGGGATCAAAAGTAAATGTCGTTTCTACACGGGGCCACTTGGGGAGGGGATGTCACCACCTCTTTTGCGACTGTTCCTGACTTTCAGCAGGAGAGACAAAGTCAACACAGTCACTGATCTTAATTACTTTCAAAGAGGGCTTATATTCTCTTTAAATCCATATTTTTAAATGTTTACAAACAAAAAAAGAGTTATCTGTGGTGGAAACATTTTAATACATATATGAGTCTCTAGAGGTATAGAAATAGAGGCTTAGGTAGTCTTTGCATATACGGGACTATGTCTGACCCATACATTCTGATTTTAGATTCTAAGTAGATTTAGATTTTATCACGTGAGACTTTAAAGGATTTTTTTGTTGTTTTTTAAGTAAACTCTATAACCAACATTGGGCTCCAACTCATGACCCCCAGACCCAGAGTCACACACTCCCCTGACCGAGCCAGCCAGGTGCCCTGAGGTGGAGCGATCTTTACCTGAAGGACAGGCCCTACTCTGACCGGGGGAGCTGAGGGCTGCCGGGGCTGCTTTGTAAGCCAGGCCGATAGTCACAACACTGACCATCGCCCCGATAAGATGGACGATCAGGGGCCCTTGGCCGAGCCCCCAGGCTCCGTGTGGCCCTCGGTCTGTCCTAGACCTCCACCCTCACTATGTGTGTGCCTTATCCACCATTTCTGCCAAACACCTAAATTCTGCTTTGGCATGTGCCATTTTCTCTCCCAGAACGCTCTGCTCCCCTCCCCTCCCCACGCAGGCCCTGTGTGGACCCTTCATGCCCTGCATCACAGGGGCTTCTGCTCGCTCCACTGACCACCGACATGCTCTGTCCAGCACCAGTCATTCATGTCGGCTGACGCTCTCCTTCTGGGCTCGTGCTCTCTCTGCAGGCAGGGGAAGTGTCTTAGTTTCCTGTGGCCGCTGTGACCAGTGATCCCACTGGGTGCCTTAAAACACAGGTTTCTTCTGGCGCAGTTCGGGAGGCCAGAAACCCAAAGCCAGCGTCAGTGGGCCCAGATCAAGGTGTTGGCAGGGCTGTTCTCGTTCTGCAGCCTGCAGGGGAGAACCGCTTGCCTCCTCGGGTCCTGGCAGCCGCTGGTGCTCCTAGGCTTGTGGGGCCGTCCCCCGTCTTCGGGGCCCCTTCAGGTCACTCCGCTGTCTCCACAGCATCCTCTCCCCGTGTCCTCACATCCCTCTCTGCCCCTTCTAACAGAGACACTTGTGGCATTCCTGGCCATAATCCAGGACACTCCCCACCTCAAAATCCCTACTTACATCTGCAGGTGTATCTTTTTTTCCAAGTAAGGTAACATTTCTAGTTTCTAAGAACTAGGATCTGATACCTCTCCCCAAACAGCCACCATCCAGCATTCACTCAGTCTGCGCACCTGCCCCACAAGATGGGGACTGTGCCTCTCCCCACGGCAGATGAGGAGATGGAGGTGTGCAGAAGTGAGTCGGTAGCAACACCAGGAGCTAGGCCAGGTGTTCTGGCCCCAAAGGCCAAGGCCCTGGGCCTCTGTACTTCCTGCCTCTGTGGCAGTGGGTTTGTTCAATGACTAAGTGAAGACAAGCAACTGAAGAGTTTGAAGAAGACCAACAGTAGCCCAGTAGCCGATGAAGGACGGGGAGGGAAGAAGAGGAGGGAGGAGGAAGAGAGAGTGGAAAAAGAGGGAACAAAAGGATCTGGGGGCAGGCGGAGTGCCCCCTGAATTTGTCCTGGCACCCCATAGCTCCTGAGACTCCCAGACTGAAATCGTCCCTCCGAAGGGCTGGTGATCCTGGACTCATCCCAAACACTCCCCACCCCTGCTTTCTTCCCGGAAGGAAGACGAGAGCTGCCATGGCCCCCGTGAGCTCACGTCACCCCCCTCGTCTGCAGGGCACGAGAGCTATGTGACCTTCTGCCAGCTGGAGGACGAAGCTGCCTTCACATGCAGCGCTGACCACACCATCAGGAAGTGGGACGTGCGCACTGGACAGTGTCTGCAGGTCTTCCGAGGACACACGTCCATCGTGAACAGGTCAGTGTGGCCGGGGCCCCAGGGTACAGAGGTGTAGGCTGTGCAGCCCCTGCCCCTGGAGGAACTTAGCTTCTCTGGGGAAGCCCACCTGCAGATGCATGTGTTTCAGGCACGACAAGGGCTGACTGCCCAGGGTTGCATTTGGGGGTTCGGGAGGCAAAGGTTGGGGAACGGAGGCACCACCGACACATTGATTGTGCCCGGACCCCGGCAGCGCACTGCCCACTGCTAGGCACCGGGAAAGGCAATGGAGGCCTCAGCTCCTACTGATGGCAACAAATTCCAGAGAAGGTGGTCTAATTGGTACCTGATGGTCGGCCCAGGGGGGATTGTTCTGAAGACGAGTCCAGAGTATTTGTAAACCTCACCTTTCCATGTTGTTCTTGAAATAACCCACCCCCGCCTTCTCAAGGGGGTTTGAATTTTTCCTTTCCTTATTGAATTTGGGTCTGAGCTGAGCCATGAAAATTCCTTTGCTGATCAGATCAATTTGACATATTTATGTAACTTGTGGTGGCCGACTTAAACTCCTGAGGGAGTGTCCAGTATGACCAGGAGTCTGGGCACCTGCCCGCGGGCCCTCAAGACCTCACTGATGGGGGCTGGGGGGCGAGGGGGTGCCTGGGGGCTGAGCTAAGTCCCTCAGGAAAAGGGCTCAGTGCAGGCAGGCATTTGGAGGGTCAGGGGCTGGGCTGGGCTGGGCAGCTGGAGGAGAGCTGTTCTCAGCCACAGGGATGCTGCCAGCCTGAGCTTGGTGCAGACCTGGCTTGGGGTGGGAAACGACTTGCCCAGCGGTTTAGTGCTTGCTGGGGTGGCGGGGAATGGGGGGCCCTGACCCACCACTGACTGGACTACTAGCTGCCTGCAGTCAGAACCGTGCACCCACAGGGCAGGAGCCAGGTACCGTCCCTCAGCAGACAGACGGCTCAGGATGGTTGCGAGTGGAGAAGGTCCCCTTCCCGCCCCTGAGCTATTCTGAATCCTGCCCCCGCCGCTAGAGCGGACAGGGCCGCCACCCGCCACCAGGGCCCAGCAGCTGCGGTGTGGAGGAGGGCACACCTCCTGCTCGTGGCTTCCCCACACCCTTCCTTGAGGAGGAAGTTTGTGAGTGAGCAGAGGTGTGGGTGTGCGGGAGTCTCGCGTTGTGAGGCCGGGGCGGGTGGGAGAGGCCACATCTCAGGACCGGCTTGCGCTCAGCTTGTAACCGGAAACTATCAGCTGCTCCTCAAGAGCAAACCTGGATAATCGAGGCTAGAAATTATGCTGTGCCGGGTTCAGACTCTCCTGAGCACACACACACACCATACACACACGTCCACACACGCCACGTTTGAGGGGTCGAGGTCCCAAACGGGTCGTTCTGGGCAGAGACTAAGGGTGACTTAGCAACTGGGTTGCATTACTAAGTAACATGCTCACAGATATGCCATATCCTTGAGCATTTCCATTCCCGAGGATGTGGAATTCACTTCTTCCCGTGTTTTCAGAGCCCGGCCGGGTGTGTGAGTTTTGGGGGGCACCGAGCATGCCTTCTCATGCCAGGCCAGACCGGGCAGGCCTCCGGCCCCCAGACCATCCCCCGCGGTGCCACGTGCTGTCACGTGGTCACTTTCCCTTGCACATTCGCGTGTCCTGAAGACCGTACGGACGGGGTGTTAGGGAAGAAGTGAGTCCGAAGCAGTGCGCACATCGGCGCGGTCGGCCTCCCCAGTTGCCTGTGGCAAGTGAGCACCGCGCAGAGGTGAGCGGCGTGGACGGCGAGCAGGCGGGAGGGCTGTTCTCAGGGCCCATCTCTCCCCGCACCTGGGCCAGGCTCGCCTCTGACCCCAAGACGCAAGGTCGCCACTGCTCCGTCCCCACACTTGTGACACACGCCGGTCCAGCTGCCCCTCCCGCCCCCCTTTGTGGCCTCCTCTTGGTGAGTGGGGGGGCTCAGGGCTTCCTAACAAGGGTGTGTGAACAGAGCCTTTGACGTCATGCAAAGCTCTATACTGAAGACCAACGTGTATTTTCTGGGGAGAAGTTCTTAGCATTCATCAAAATGAGACTGAGGATCGTGAATATTTGCTGCTCTGGAGGCCTCTCCTCCCCCTATGGGTGTGAACGGAGCTCCGCCCACACGAAGCTCCCCGGGCTCACTCAACACAGAGGGCCCTGTGAAGGCCTGCTAGGCACCCCTGCCTGCTCTGACCCCTGCCCCACCCCTGCGTGCTCTGACCCCCGCCCCTACCTCTGTGTGCTCTGACCCCTGCCTCTTACCCCTGTGTGCTCTGAGCCCTGCCCCACCCCTGCGTGCTCTGACCCCTCCTCTATCCCTGCCTGGTCTGACCCCTGCCCCAAACCCCTGCGTGCTCCGACCCCTGCCCCTTACCCCTGCATGGCCTGACCCCTGCCCCTACCCCTGTGTGTTCTGACCCCTGACCCTTACCCCTGTGTGCTCTGACCCCTGCCCCTACCTCTGCGTGCTCTGACCCCTGCCCCACCCCCACGTGCTCTGACCCCTGCCTCTTACCCCTGCCTGCTCTGACCCCTGCCCCACCCCTGCGTGCTCTGACCCCTGCCCCACCCCCGTGTGCTCTGACCCCTGCCTCTTACCCCTGCATGCTCTGACCCCTGCCCCTTACCCCTGCGTGCTCTGACCCCCGCCCTCTCCCTCTTCCCACCAGGATCCTGGTCGCCAACAACCAGCTCTTCAGCAGCTCCTACGACCGCACAGCTCGAGCCTGGAGCGTGGACGAGGGGCAGGTGTCCCAGGAGTTCCGGGGCCACCGCAACTGCGTGCTGACCCTAGCCTACTCTGCGCCCTGGGACCTGCCTGGGGCTCCGTGCGCCGAGGAGGTTGGGGGGCTCCTGGTGACGGGCAGCACGGATGGCACGGCCAAGGTGTGGCAGGTGGCCAGCGGCTGTTGCCACCAGACGCTGCGGGGCCACACGGGGGCCGTGCTCTGCCTTGTGCTGGACACGCCCAGTCACACCGCCTTCACCGGCAGCACCGACACCACCATCCGTGCCTGGGACATCCTGAGCGGGGAGCAGCTGCGGGTGTTCAGGGAGCACCAGGGCTCTGTCATCTGTCTGGAGGTGAGATCTGCCGGGGAGGCCCCCGGGTCGTCCTCTGAGCCCTACCCCGCGTGCTAGTTAGCTTGCCCGGGTAGCAGACGACCGCAGACGGGCGGCTTGCACGACAGAGACGGATGGTGTCACCGCTCTGGAGGCTGCAAGTCTGAGATCCAGGTGTTGGCCTGTAGCTGGCTGTATTCTCACGTGGTCGTCCCTCTGTCTCCAGACGTCCCCTTCCTATAAGGACACCAGTCCTACTGGATTAGGTTCCACCCGAATGACCTCATTTTAACTTACCTACCTCCTTAAAGACCCTGTCTCCAAATACACTCACATTCACAGATACGAGGGTTAAGGCTGTTGTCAACATAGGAATTTTGGTTTCTTTACATGTTAAGGGAGGATTATGTCTACCCAGAAACCCTGGTCCATAATTCCTAAATCCAAACGTTCCACAACACGAAGGTGTGTGTGTGTGTGTGTGTGTGTGTGTGTTTTTAAGGCTTGGCACCAAAACTTACTTGGCATCAAAGCCTGGCCTACACAGATAGGCTAGCTGGAGTTCACTTTACCCCTTTTCCTGGGACTATGAATTCCTTTGCTGTAGAAACATGAGCATGTTGCTAAAATCCAAAAACTTCTGAACTACATCTGGCCCCAAGATTTTGGACCAGGGATTCTAACGTGAAAGCGCCCGCCCTTGGTGGTCGTGAGGATCTCATAAACTAGTGGTGGACGTGGCCCAGACGTGACCCACATACAGGTGTCTGGTAGGTTGTGCTGTTGTTGTTGGGCATCAAACAGATATGCTGCCCATGCTTATCTTTTCTCATTTTACACATGAGAAGACAGAGGCTCAGAGAGGGTAAGCAACTTGTCCAAGGCCTCACAGCTGGTAAGGGGCAGAGACAGACTGGAACCCAGGACTGAACATGTAACCAGCAGCTTATTTATTTATTTTTTTTAAGATTTTAATCATTTATTTGAGAGAGAGAGAGTGAGAGAGAGCACAAGAGCAGGGTGAGGGGCAGAGGGAGAAGCAGACTCCCCGCTGAGCAGGGAGCCTGACGTGGGGCTCGATCCCGGGACCCCAGGATCATGACCTAAGCTGAAGGCAGACACTTAACCGACTAAGCCACCCAGGCGCCCCTAGCCAGCAGCTTATAAAGGCGTGACAGGGTCTGTACCTTGCCGGGGTGGGGGAGTCTTACCCCGGAGGCAGCGTGTCCGGAGCCCAGCTATGCTCTGCAGCCTGGCCCAGCGGCTTCATTCCCCTGCCCAAGTGCATCTGCTGCCGTGAGCTGAGCAGGGAGAGGCCCGCACCCCGGGGGCCCCCACAGCAGAGGCCTCGTCCTCCCATCTGCTTGGATGGATCGCAGGGAGATGGCCCCAAGCCCTGTCCCCTCAGAGCTGTCTTGGCTGAGGGAAGTCTTGCAGGCCCTGTCCTTCGTGACATGCCCCTGTCAGGGTCTGTCTGCTTCCCCATGTGCCTCGGGCCTCCCCGAGCTGCCCGGCTGCTCCCCAGGGATGTCCTCGTAGGAAAGCAGCCAAAGTGAACAGTGAGGTCTCAGGCAGCCAAGGACAACACGCTTGGAGCATTTCCTGGGCCTCTGGACTCATGACTTGTACTTTGAAATCGTGCCGCTGGGTCACTTTTAAACAGTGCGACAGGCCCCACGTTGTTGGGACACGCTGCGTGGGGAACAGGAGGTGTCATCCCTTTGCGCCATGGAAGCTCAGCGCCTTCCTTGCATGGGCTGAGCGGCGCAGAGGTGCCCCGTGTCCCATGGGGGCCTCCAGCCCGCAGGCTACTCACTCCAGCCCCCTTAATTTCAGGTCTGTGAGGCTCAGTGGGCAGTTTGGGAAGTGTGGTCCCTGGAGGCCTGGGGCTGCCTCTGGAGCGACGGCTGATGGGTCAGGACACATGGGGGCATGGGGCGGACACTGGGGCAGGAGGTCGTACGTGCTCCCCGAGACCCCACCGCCTCTGCCGTGGTGAATGGCCCAAAGCCAAGTTTGACCTGTGCTGTGGCTGGGGCAGAAATATAATCTGGACGAGTCAGAGTCCTGTCGTCTGGGATTTAAACTGGGAAATTATAGGGGGATCCTGGGTCAGCCGCGGGAACTGGAGTGGTAAGGGGCCCAGAGTGTGGCTGTTGTTGGGCAGGTGTGTGCTGGAGCTAGGAGGGCATGGGCCATGGCAAGGATGCCGGGGGCCTGTCCTCGCGCCAGGCCTGCTGCCCGCTGCCCCAGCAGAAGGGCCTCCTCTTTCCTAAGGCTCCAGGGGTCCCTGGGCCCCGGCTCTGGCACGAATGTCTCTCGCCAGGGCTCACAGCCACCCTCCTCACCTGATTTCTGGTTCTCCTCTGCCTCCCTGCTAACCAGAGCTGCTGGGTGGCGGCTCTCTTGGCTGCATGGGGATTTTGTCTAGAGGAACCTGCAGAAATATTTTATTCGTCTTCGCACTTTCCCTGGGCCAGAACACTGGCTGTCTTGGCAAGGGGTGCTCCTGTGAGGGGCCTCCCCCAGCCATGCCTTCTCTCCCAGGCCCTTGCTTTCCTCCTGCGACACCGAGCAGGGGTGTGAATGCCACTCTGGTCAGCTGGGGCAGGCGGGAAGTCGGGGAGCCTGTCTCCAGGGCTCCTCCCTCCCCACCCGGGCAGCCCCAGGAGCCCTTTCCTCAGCCGGGACAATCGAGGGAACGGCTGGGGCGGCCGGCCGTAGCTACAGGTGGATTCACCGGAACCTTTCAGGCGCCGACTGTTCAGCAGGAACCGCCGACGAGAGACGCCTGACAACAGTAACAACACGCGCGAACATTCCGTGCGCCTTACTCCTAGTGCTGAGCGCTGCGCGGGCCTTCTCTGCGCCCCCCACGGGAGCCTGGCGGCATGCCGACTTCCAGTGCGGGGGAGCAGTCAGTGACGGGGCCGAGGGCAAAGTGACAAGATTCTTGGGTGCTGGAGCCGGCAGCTGGGTGGGTCCTCACAGGCAGGGTCTTTCCCGCTCGTCCACGTTCCCAGTGAGACCTGCAGGGGCCCCTCCCCCGTCACACAGAGCGGTCTGGAGGGGGCTCCGAGTCCCCTGCCACGGCCAGCACTACCAGAGTCCAGCGCCACCGCCCCCCCCCCCCCGCAGCTCGTGAACCGGCACGTGTACTCGGGCAGCGCGGACAGGACGGTCAAGTGCTGGCTGGCCGACACCGGGGAGCGTGTGCGCACGTTTGCGGCCCACCGACACAGCGTGAGCGCCCTCAAGTACCACGCAGGCACCTGTAAGTGACCCCTGTCCCCGGCTGGCCCCACGCTGCCCCCACGCTGCCCCCACCAGCCCGCACCTGCCTGGGCTCGTCCCTCCTCGCCCCCAAATCCTCCCGCCCTCGGGGCCTCTGCGCCCTACTTCTTACCGGACCGTTCCCTCCTGAGCCTCAGAGGCCATTCGGGGTGGTCAGCAGCCGAGCCTCCTCCATGCACGTGTGCCTCCAGGGTTATTTTTTTTCCAGCTTTTTTTTTTTTAAGATTTTACTTATTTTTATTTATTTGACACAGAGAGAGAGTGAGAGAGAGAGCGCAAGCAGGGGGCGGGGCAGAGGCAGAGGGAGAAGCAGGCTCCGGGCTGAGCAGGTATCCCGATGTAGGACTCGATCCCAGGACCCCGAGATCATGACCTGAGCAGAATTCGGGCAGACGCTTCACCGACTGAGCCACCCAGGCGCCCTTCCAGGGTTATTTACAAAGAAGGTCCAAACAAGGGTGTGGGGCTTCCTCCCCAGCTTCACCCCACAAAAACATGCAGCAGCCTGAATGGCCAGGACGCCCAGGGTTAAGAGCATCGTCTCACGGACACATTCGAATTCTTGAAATGAGACCTTGACAGCACTCACTCCTGCCAGACTGGAGGGCCACATGGGTTTGACTTCACCTGGCATTAGGTTTGACAACAGATAAGAGAAAGCCCAGATAACAGTGCTTTAAATGAAATAGTGGTTTGTTTTTCTCAGGTAGAATTTCTGAGGCTGGCAGGCTAGGCAGGAATGGATGGTTCCACAAAGTTATCAGGCACCCAGTTTCCTTTGATCACTTTGCTTTCATCACCCTTAGCACATGTCTTCTATCTTTTAGGGGCCCTCATAGTTTAATATAGCTGCTGGAGCTCCAGCCACCGTGTCGTATTGTAGGCAGACAGGACAAAGAGGGAAGGGCAAAAGGATGTGTCTCTTAGCTGAGTGGGTGCCTTTAAAGATCTTTCTTGGAAGCCTTACCCAGAGACTTTGCATGCATCTCTTTGACCGCTGCCTACAAGAGGGACTGAATAATAAAATCTCTTATCTGGGGATATTGCTGCCAGGGTTAATCAGGTTATTTTGGATAGAAAGAAGGGCAGAATGGCTTATTGGGTAGGCAACAAGCTGTCCCACAGGTCTCAAACTGACACACCTGGGGTTTGCTGGCTCTGTCCTGCAGGCTTGGCTCATGTTCACACCCCAGACTCACCCAGAAGACAGACACTGTTCCAGGAAGCACCCCCCAAAACACACACACCTTACCACACCTACACGGGAGTGGGGCTCCCAGGTTACTGAACATCTCTTTCCCAAAACAATCCCCAGCATTATGTTTTGCCACCAGCCTCCCTCATCCCCGCTCTGTTTTCTCTCTCTGTCTCTCTCTGTCTCTCACTCTCTCTCAGGGAGCAGATGGGTGGGGGGGAGTCACAGCAGAAAATTCAAGTTGACTTCACAGCACAGATGTTAGATGAAGACAGAAGGTGGATCTATGAAAATAGAGCCCAAGATACCCTTGGGCTTTAGGTGTCTGACACGGGAAAATTATTTTTTCCTTCTTCCTGGGTCCAAGCCTGTGAGTGTGATGATGGCTCTGCTCCCAAGTCGGGACCTCTAATTTAAAAAGATTAAAGCCGCCCAGAGCGCCTCCCCTTGGCAGCAGCTGGGATGGACCCCATCTGCTGCCCACTATTAAGGAAATTGGTCCGTGGTCTTTGCCAATGGGCTGCAGGTTGATCAGACTTAATTCCTGGCCCTCTTCCTATCCACGGGATGCCCAGCAGCCACACTGGGTTGGGGCAGGCGAAGCAGTAAGTGGGATAAGGAAGAGATCCCTGAGGCTGGGGATCCCCCAGGGCTTGCTCAGGCTGCTGGGCGGGTGCGGCAGATGCTGTGCGTACCACCCCTGGGGCACTGCTTTCTGCTGCACCTCAGGTCCTCTGCCCTCCACTCTCTTCCTGTGAGGAGCAGGTGGGAGGAGGGCTGGGAGCTGACACCCACAAGAGGGGCCCTCAACCAGTGACTTGCCCCCCACCTCCCAGGGGCACAGCTCTGAGACGGGGTCTGCACCTTCTCCCAGGGTCCCCCTGCAGTCACCTGCTCACCCATCCTGTTTCTCCCCCCATTTCGTGGAATGCCCTGCCAAATGAAATGTTTGCACTCACATCCTAGCGTCAGGGTCAGCTTCTGGGAGAACCGAGGCGAGGACAATACGTAAACAACAGAGTTCTTCTGGTCCCTGTTCTCGGCGGGGTCGCCGTTCTCCGCGCGGTCCCTGTTCTCGGCGCGGTCGCCGTTCTCCGCGCGGTCCCTGTTCTCGGCGCGGTCGCCGTTCTCGGCGCGGTCCCTGTTCTCCGCGCCGTCCCTGTTCTTGGTGCGGTCCCTGTTCTCGGCGCTGTCGCCGCTCTCCACGCGGTCCCTGTTCTCGGCGCGGTCCCTGAGTGGCAGCAGCGGCATCTAGAACTGGTTAGACATGTGGGCTCTCAGACCCCACCCCAGACCTCCTGAGACAGAAACGCAGGTGGGCTCAGCAATCTGCCTTAACCACCCTCCAGGTGATTCGGGGGCTCACTGGAGTCTGAGAACTCTTGAACTAAGTTCTAATGTAGGAAAAGGCGCAAGGAAGGCCGAATCCCGGGGCTTCCCCAGAAGAGGTTGGGCAGGGGTGCTCTAGCGAACGCCAGAGGGTCTAGGCTCTGTTCGGAGCCAAGTTCGTTACTGAGGAGGGGAAGGATGGCATTACAGTAGGCAGCTCGGATGACGGGAGGTGGATGACCTCCCCCCCAACCCCAGGCAGGGGCTTTAGAGCGGGGAAGCCAGGCCTCACCAAAGGCTTTCACCAAACGGTCTGAGAGAGGGGACCTGGGCCGAGGTGGTACTCAGGAGGGACAGAAGGCCCGGAGAGGGCCGCTCAGGCAGGCCCTGCAGCCCAGGGCAGGTTCAGCAGCCGCAGTCCTGCAGAGCTGGCTGCAGGGAGGGGGGCAGGCCCCTGAGTTCCCAGGCACGTAGCACGAGAAAGAAGGTGCCGCCCCCTTCCTTGCAAGGAGCTCCTGCTAGTTCCCATTTGAACCTGAAGACCTCCCGGTGAGGCGGGCCACTTCCGGGCCTGCCCCGCCGCGCCCCCGCCCCGGCCCCGCGGCGTCCGGGAGGAGGCGGCGGCTCTCGGGCGGGAGGCCCAGCGGCGCCCTGTGTCCACAGTGTTCACGGGCAGCGGGGACGCCCGCGCGCGCGCCTTCGACGCCCGCTCCGGAGCGCTGCAGAGGGTGTTCCGCGGTCACGCCTTCGTCATCAACTGCATCCAGGTAGGCGTTCCCCGCCCGGCCCCTGGGCTCTGCGTCGGCGGGGAGGGCCAGGCCGCGCCCCACCCCGGCACCCCGAGGCCGGGCTCCCCCGGCGGCGAGGCCGCCGACAGTTGCGGGCACCGCGGAGGGGAGGGCGGCCCGGGCGCCCCCGCAGCGCCGCCCCACGCGCCGCCCCGCGCCCGCAGGTGCACGAACAGGTGCTCTACACCGCCTCGCATGACGGCGCGCTGCGCCTCTGGGACGTGCGCGGCCTCGCGTGCGCCCCGCCGCCGCGCCCCGCCGCCCCCGCGCGCAGCCGCTCCCGCCTCTTCAGCAACAAGGTGGGCTGCGCCGCCGCGCCCCTGCAGCCCGCCTGAGCGCCCCGAGACCGCGGGCCGACCACCCCCGCCCTGGGCGGGGCTCCGTGGACTTCTGAAGCCCCCTCCCGTCCCGTGGACGGCGACCGTGCTCGCCCTCGGGGACCACGTCTCTGTCCCCACCCCCTCCAGACCCAGCACCCCCCCCCCCCCCCCGCCGCAGAGCTGGCCTGCACTCAGGTCTGCACCTGACTCAGCGGGACCCTCCCGACCCAGGGTCTGCCGCCACACAGCCCCCAGAGCCTGAGGTCCCCAGAAGCCAAGCCCGTCCTGAAGGGAAATGGGATTTCTTCAAAAAGCCGCCCAGCCGCAGTTGTCATTGGTTTGGCAAACTGTCTTGAGGACACTAGTGAAGAACCGAAATACACGTCCTTCCAAGTGCTCTGGAATATGGCTTTTGTTCTGCAAACTCTCGGCTTCCTGTCGGGGGGGGGGGGTTCCCGGAACCGGGGGCCTCACACACCCGGCCTGGGCCTGCCCCTCCTCGAGGGGCTGCGGCCCGATGACCCCTGCAGTGTCACTCGTGTGGGGAGTGGCCACGGGAGAGGCCAGGGAGCAAGGAGCCGGCCCTTCGGCCCGTCTGGGTGACGACGGGGATCCGTCACCCCTGCTTTGGAGCTCGCAAGTCCGCATGAATCGAGGGGGGCCCTTGCCTCCGGCCTGGGTCTGCGGTAGAAAGGCCGGGGCAGTAGCCGCCTGGCCGCGTGCGCCGGAGCCGGCCCGACGCTGCGCGCGGTGAAGGCGTGGGCATCACTCCCGAGAGCAGCTGGAGTCCTCGCCCCGAGGGGCTTCACGGGGCAACGCGGCCCGGGCTCCGGAGAGGCCCCGACGGGAGCCGCCCCCAGCGGCCCTCTCATCCCCCGAAGGGGGCGCTCTGCCAGCCCTCGCCTGGTGCGGGAGAGGCAGCTTGGCAGTGCCTGCGGCTGAGAGCTCAGCATCTCGCCCGGGACGGGAGCCTCTGGTGCAGAGGAGCGGGCACCGCCCTGCCTTCACGCAAGAGCCGTTTCCTCAGCAGGATGCGCGGCAGGACCCGTGTTCCCCGGGGTGGCCAGGTCCAGGCCTGACGGCGGGTCCCCCCCGCCCCCCCGCCCATGAATACATACAGGATTGGCACCGGGGGCAGTAGGAAGGGACGCGTACCTTTGTGACTGTGCTCTAGGCCACACCCCCCAGCCCTGGGAACCGGGGGCCTCCCCAGGAAAGCAGGCTGGCTGGCGAGAAGCCCGCGCGGCCGCATCCTTGGCCTCGAGCGGTACCGGTGCTCCCGCCTCCGGGAGCCGTGCCTGGGGCGCGGGCTGCCTGGGGGGCCCGCAGCAGCGGCTGCAGCGGCTTGCCCACCGGCGGGGCTCCCGGGAGGGCCGGCAGACGGCCCACCTGGAGTACCCGCGCCAGGATTTCCACTGCGCGGACGGAGAGGCGGCTTGAGTAACCAGACGCGCACCGACGCTCACAGTCGCTGCTGCGCTCCTGCTCCCACGTCACCTCAGAGGCCCCATCTTATCCACGCGCTAGGATGCACCCGGGGAAAGAGCCCCGGGTGCGGATCATAGCACGCGAGCTGCTGGAGATTGGCTCTCCGGCCTGCCTCTCCTGGAGAGAGTAGGAAACGGAAACCTGTTTGTCGTTTGGTTTTTGTATTCATACAGCAGAATAAATTTGGGTGATTTTTATTTCTACAACACACAAGACTTTGTTAGATGTTGAGGGTGTTAAGACCAGATGACCAGGTATTCTTTGCCCTTGATAAATACGGCTGGATGGGGGTGGGGGGAAGGACAGTACTTATGGACACATGGGCAGGAAACGGGCGGGGAAGTGTCACCAAAGCCAAGGGCAGACGGAATTTCACAAGAAAACGATCAGCATCAGATGTGGAGTGCAGACATCCGCATCCCACTCCTGCTCGGAGTCCTCTAAGGGCCTGGGCATTCAGCCACTCCAATCTAGACCCCCTGCCTTTCAGGGAGCTCTGTAGTTGGACTCCGCAGTCCTTTCCACCTCATCCTCTGCCCCGCCCCACCCTCTGGTGGGCCTAGAACGGCCGTGACCTCATGAATATGGCACACTTGGCCTGTTCTACACCGACTATTACCTGCTCATTGGTCCCAGGTCTGGAATGTTCTTTCTTCTCAAACTCTCGGAGAGTCTGACAGGGAGCTGAGATGCCTCCAAGGCCCACCTCCTCTGTGACTCTTCTGGCCTCAGCCCACTCCTGTTTACTTGGGGACATTTTCATCACAAATGCCCTTTGCTGCTTCTCTTGCCCTCCAGAGCTGGGAGTGGCACTTGGCCACTGCCTGTCTAGTTTCACAAACCAGCTGGAGGCAAAGCCGGGACCAGAGCCTGTCTCCGGACTTGGGATGGGCAGCCCTCCTTATGTGAGAACGGGCTGAAGTGATGTCAGAGCCCCGCTAGCGTGCTTCTGCTTTCCAGCCTTTCTAGGGTCACTAAGAATGCATCTGGGAAGCTAGAAGCCACGCCTGGCCCAAGACCAGGACAGTAACTAGTTAGCCAGAAGCTGCAACTCAGGCCCGAAATCCGAGGATGACATGGTCCCGGCGAGGCTGGAAGACCCCCCGCATCACCTGGGCCGTCAGCCACTTCACCACCACCAGCGCACCCCCCTTCCCCTCCCACGCAGGCTCCTTCCCCGCCATCAGCTCCAGCTCTGCTTTCTACATTTCATCTTCTTATAACAGACATCGATGTGGCTTTCGATTTCTTCACAGAACGCCATGCAAGCACACGTCTTGAATCCAAACGAAGCTCTAGACACCCAGGCATTCTCAATACTTAGAACGGTTTAGGAGTTTGAGCAACTTATTGCAAAGTTAAGCTGACAATTTTTGAATATATTTTCCGCTTTTTATTTCCATTTGTATCATCCATTTTAAAAATGACAGAAAAGATTCCCACCCATTCAAACCGGACTGCCGTTCGAGCTTTACGAAAATGATTAGTGAAGAAGTCAAAGCATTTCAGCCCCTTGACGTCAGCAGTGTGACCATCTGCCCTCCGTGGCAGGAGCTTCCAGCGACTTCTGGAAGGGCAGGAAGAGGGCCAGGAACACACACTCGATTCAGCACCCTGCTGCTGCCAGCCGCGTCCTGGGGCTGGACCCGGCTTTCCCTGAACACACATCTCCAGAGGACGTACCGCACACGGAGTGTGCTTATTTGGGCCATGAAGAGGCTAACTACACACCTTTAGAAATAGTCCTCTGGGACACAGGTATGCCAAAACCCCCCACAAATCTGGAGAAAATAGATCTTACTCTCTGATAGATACCTCAGCGAGCAGTGAGTTTAATATGACAGCACAGCGTCTGAAAATGCTAATTAAAAATTAATTGCTTTGGCTAGACTTTCCCATTTAATAAAAGACTTTTTGTAAAGAATTTTGAACAGCTATAAATTCTCAACTTCAACCTTGAATTTCAAATACACGTTTTACTGAACTAAGAGTACAGAACACTGACTTCCAGGGGCCACAGTTCGGTGCAGCTACTGTAGCTGAGGCCTCATCTTTAGTCCCCCAAAGCGCCAGGAATGGCTGCAGATTTAAAGGACATTTTAGAGATGGGCCAGCGAGGCCGAAGCAGGAAGGCAGAGCTGCATCACGGGAGGAAGAGCTTGGCAGTGAGCTCAGAAGGGCAGGAGAGCTAGGCAAAATGAAGAGATGGATCTGGATGCTTCCCCTCCCCATCAGCTCTTCCTGGAGACCTTCCCCAGGGGCCACCCTATTCTCCAGAAGTAACTGCCCTTCCCATTTCCGGATGAAAAGAAACCAAGCGGGGAAGACCTGTTAGGGCTGCAGCATGTGAAGGCCGCCGGGAAGAACAGGACCAGGCCAGAGGCAGCTCCTTCCCCGAGGTCAGCATTGGGGACTGGCACCCCGCCCCTCCCCCAGCCTCCTCTTACCCTCACAGGAGCCCACCCCTCCTACACCCAAGGAGGAAGCACTCTTGCAGCAAAATCAGATAAAAAGAAGGAAAAAAAGACCTGCATTCGATTTTTCATAATCATAGAATTTATAAGCAGAAACTCAGTACTTATTTCTGCTCATTATTCAGTTTTTCTTTGTTGCTGACTTTATGTTTTCTACATAGGATAAGTACTCTGCAATAATAATTTCTTCATCTTCCAGAGTGGAGTCAAGATAATCTTCTTCGTGTTCTGGAATATCTTCCAATATTTCATTGACGGCTTCTGTCTCCGTATCTTCATCTGTTGAGGCACTAGAGGTACCTGCAATGGAGTAGCGTGGTCACAGCTGAGCAAGGGGAGAAGGGCAGGAGGAGGAGAAAACGCCACAGAAGGACGGAGCTGCCCCACGTCCATGTCCCCAGGGCCCTCCCTGGCCGCGCCGCGCAGACCAGCGCCCGCACCCGGGAGGGCAGGCCCTTCTCCCCGCGGCCGCTCCGGCTAGCAGGCCGCTCTCAGTTCGGATTTCAGAGAGCCCAGACCTACCTCCGGAATCAGAAGGGGATGTGGATGGTGTTGAGGAAGCGTCTTCCGCCGCGAGCTGCAGGTCAGGAGGAAGACTCCCCCCGTTGTGGGCCAGGGTCTGAGCGGCCAGCTGCACATTTCCCCTGAACACTCTCAGGGCAGCGCTGGCTGCCACCGCATCGAAGCCCATGTACACCAGCTAGGGGAGAACACGGGGCGGGGTGGGGGTGGAGAGTGGGGGCCGACCCACGTGCAGCACTCCGGCCCACCCCCTGGCCAGCGAGCCATCGAGGCCCACGTGCGCCAGCTCGGGGAGAACACGGGGCGGGGGCGGGGGGGGGGCCGACCCACAGCACTCCGGCCCACCCCCGGCCAGCGAGGACAGCCCTACAGGCAATACATGTCTAACCGCTGGCGTGGACAGCACGGGCCTCCTGTCACACTGCTCCTGAGCGCACAGCGTGTGCCCGGCGCCGCCTGGAAGGATCGAGGAAGACCGAGCCCAACATGCCCGGGCCCGGGCCTCTCAGAAAGGCAACGGGCTTGTGGGCCGACACGACGTGCTCCTCCTGGAGACTAGGGCCTTTAGCAAGGCAGTCACAACAGGCTCGGTGCGCTGATGGGGGAGGGAGACGTGGACAGAGGCGCCACGGCTGGTGGGTAAAGTACCGTGGCATGAGAGAGGAGAAAAGCCCACAGAGAGAACGTGCAGTTGCTCTATTTCCTACTCTCGAAGGAAAGACCTCCTGCTCGCCTTCCACCAATCGCAGCCGCGGGCTTGGCTGGCCGCCTACGGTGGGCCAGGGTCAGCCTGCAGCCCTGTCCTGCCGCCAGCCTTGTCACCCAGGCCCCCCCCCCCCCCACAAGCTGTACAGGGGGAGGGGCGCAAACACATCCTCACTTACCTGGTCAATGTTTTCCTGGGAAGGACCTTCTTGATGGTTGTTGGTTTCAGGATCCGAATCATTTAACCACCACATCTGAGGATTACTAAGAAGAATCTAAAAACACACAGGAATTTACTCCTCACACCTGCTCACCTACTCGGTGCTCGGCGGACAGAGACACAGGACACACCAGCAGACAGGGTAGGGTGCTGGGGGGCACCAGGCAAAGGATGTGAAGGAAGCAGAGAAAAGGGGCCCGAGCCCAGGGGCAGGGTGGGGATGCTGGTGTCAAAGAAGGCTTCCCGCAAAGGGAACATCGGAGTTGAGGTCTGAAGGAGGAGCAAGAGGAGCCGGACAAAAGATCCCTTCTGAGGAAGTAGGAAGGGACAAGAGTGAGCGAGAGTGAGCGGGTGGAAAGAAACCAAGAAAACAGCCCTTGTGTCAGAGCTCAGCCTCCAGGGCGACAGGTCCTGCAGGGCAATAAACAAAAGCTTCTTGGGCCCTGCAGGGCTGACCCATGTCATTTCTCTTTGGGAGTGTCATGAGCTAGATTGAAAAGGTCAAGGAAAGCAGAGCTTTTTGGACCCTTGATTTCGTATCACAGGATACCCTCTCTTAGCCTCACAAACCCTCGGGGAAATGTCCCTTTACCTACTTCTAGACTGGTGGCATGGGTCACGGTGCGACTCGTGCAGTCAAACCTATGGTGGGGCCTCATCAGTCGCCCAACGCGGGCAGAACCTCCTGCCTTTATATTGTTCCAACACAGGAGGCCAAACTAGGTACTCAAATCCATTTATAAATTATATGTTTATATATGTGTCTGTCTATATGTGTAAACATATAAACATAAACATTTACTTGTGGAAACTTCTGAGAAATGGACAGGAGGTCTTGAGAATAAAAGGCAAACGCAGGGCAGGCTCCAGTATGAACTCCTCGGCAGGGCAAACAAGGGGACCCCTGCCCACCCAGCCCCTGGCCCCAGCAAGCACAGCCCCGGCAGCTCCCCAGGGCACACGCTCCCTTGCGCCTCCAGCCCCATGCTGCCCTGTGGCTGCTCGGAGAGGCACCCCGCTTGCCTGCCTCCACAACTCAGCTGCCCCCTGCCCCCCACGTGCCGTGCTCCCACGCGGCGGCCTTTCCTCCACTCTGTTCTGTCTCCCCAGTACTCTGTGGGCTCTATGTACTGACAGAGAGGCAACATGTACTGACTGAATCAATAAATAAAACGATACTCAAACAAAACATTTTAATTAAAAGAAAACTATACTAAAACTTTCATCACTATTCTCTTCCTCCACATCACTGCTAAACTCTTGGTGTTGCAAACGGAAACCTTACAGTTCTGCCCCGTGGGCTCTGCCATTCTGGCTCCATCACTGGGTTCGAGAACGAGAGACTGACCCTTAGACCTAAACCGGGACTGAGG